GAGATGGGCAGTTGAGCAAGGAGAAAAATTCTAAGTTTATGAAGAGAAGCCACTGTATTTGTGAAGTTTCCCCCTTTATTACTGGCATCTTCCAGGTGTGCTTTTCCTGTCTTTGAAAACTTCTGTCCTTTATTTTTTACAATTATTTTTATAGTTGCTGTTATTTCTGTTATGACTAAGATCCTGGTCTATTTTTCAAGGTTCGTCCATCCCATTTACCATCCATCTGTGAAAATCTTGATCCTAAACTAAAATGTCCCATTACCCTATACATGGTCCTCTTCTCCTTGAATAGTAATTTCATGCCCAAGGCGAATCCAATCTAGCCCACTACCATCACTAGATCTCCTTTTAAGAGCTGCAGAGTCCTCTTCCTTCCATGGATTTCTTATCTAATAAAGTGTGATAAAATGATAAATTCAGTGCTCACTTTGGCAGCACATATACTAAAACCGGAACAATACAGAGACAATTAGCACGGCCCCTGCGCAAGGATGACACACAAATGGTGTAAGGGTTAAGTCACTGGGCTCCTTGGTGGCTGACCACAGTTCGAGTTCCAGACCCGGTGGCGTGAAAGTCACACAGGGCACGTGTGTGCACATGCCCAAAATCTCAAGAGGAGTATGGAGGAGAAGGAACTGCAGTGGGGCCATTCCCTCTCAGGAGTGATTTCTTACTTTCTGTCTCTCTAGCAAGCACATACACCCTATGGCAAAAATCTCTCTCTAAAATAAAAAATAATCATCTTTTTGTAAAAAAAAGGTAAGTTCAATCTGTTCCCATTCTGAACCAAGAAGGGCAAGATACAATCTGCAAAGAGATCCAGTAGCTTATAAATGACACACAAATCAATAAGAAACGAAGCTAAGGCTACACACAGGCCTTCAGTAGTCCTTCCTCAATGTTGCTGCTGCTGCACAAAGGCATCTGTAAGTGACTACTATGTATAAAATACATTAATAGTACTATATGTACTGTGGCAATGAGTCATTAAAAATTTCAGTATAATTTAAAAATCAGAGGCCTTCACAGAAATTCTCTCCCATCTCAGTTGGCCCCTAACCAATGATGGGTCTTTTTAAAAATCTGTTTCAATAAAGACAAGTATAGCATATTTAACTCTAGTACATTTTTTTTTCTTTTTTCTTTATTTCTTGCTATAGGGCATGTGCACTCACCAGAGAGACAGAAAGACAGAAAGCGAGAAATCACCCCTAGGGCAGATGGCCACGCTGCAATCTCTTCTCCACCATTCTCCCCCCAGGATCTCTGACATGCACGCAAACACGCCCAGTGTGAGTTTCAAGCCGCCGAGTCTGGGATATGAACCATGGTCAACTATGTGGGAGTCCGATGACATTAACTATTATGCCATCTGCTGGTCAGTGGTACAACAACTTTTTAAGGAAGCAAAAGACAGATCAGTAGTTTAAGTCAAGGAAAGAACAACCCTTGCCGTACACCACTCTATTTTAAATACTTCCAGAATATATCTCATTTAATACAAATCTCTCCATCACCCCCTCTGTCTCACACACATGCGCACACACACACACATCCCCAAGAAATAACTCATTTTATGGCTAACAAGGATTCCACGAGGTTAATAAGTGTGGATACAGGAGTGAAAATAGGTATTCGAATTCCATAGTCCATGTCCTTTCCATGAGTTTCTAAACCCTGTAATGTCTGATATTGGAGATTAATTATTTAGTAAAAGTGTGAAACTGAAGCATCACAGACTATGACACAGGACTGTTGTTAGGCTTTCCAATACTGGGAAAGCAGGCTGGCAACTCTTAGAATGACCTTTAAAAAGAAACTTTCCGGGACCAGCAGTTGGCATAATGGCTATGTTGCTGGACTCCCATGTAGTCAAGCACGATTCGAGTCCTGGACCCTGTGGCTTAAACTCGTGCCAAGCGAGTGTGCGTGCATGTCCAACATCCTGCGAGGAGAATGGTGGAGAAAGGATTGCAGCGTGACCATCCCCCTTGGGAGGTGATCTCTTGCTTTCTATCTCTCTGCCTCTATCTTTCTGGCGAGTGCATACTCCCTATAGCAAAAACTTCTCAAAAAAAAAAAAAAGAAAAGAAAGAAAAAGAAATGAAACTTTCTAATCTTCTTAGAGGAAAAAAAAAACTTGATAGAAAATCTGAAGGTATTCTTAAGCATCAACTAGCATGTACTAAAACGTTGCTAAGCACCAGGTGATGAGCACTGCAGTCACCTGTCAATGAGAGGATGAACTCACCCAACTGTCTTCAAGGTGAGCAACCATACATATATTTTTGCAAATTCTTTCTGAGGTCACCTGGTAACACTAAACTGTGCTAGCTCATTTTCCCTTATTGTAACAAGAAGTCCTGAAAATTCACTGGCAGAGAATTTGAAGTATGTGACACATCCTTGAGGCCTGTTAAGTCCAAACTTGCCTCCAGCCAGCTTGTAAAGAGGGGGAAAGGGAGCCTTAATTCCCCTAGCCTTCTTGTCATCTTTGTTTCGTTTTGATTCTGTAATTTTGATCTTTTATTTCCCTTCAAATGTAATACTGCATGACCTCTCTGAGGAATTTTCCTATAGCATAAATCTTACCACAGCTTAAAGACCCTTCTGGATGGCAAAATCTCTAGCTCTCTAACCTTTACCTCGAAGTATTTTCTTTCCCTGGTATTGCTCTGACTCTCACGTACCAAGTACCATTCTCCCTCCAAAGCTAAAGTCTTTGCACATACAGGTGCCTCCTGTTTCAGAGTCTCCTGGAATTTACCACAAATTATAGTAATATACTATGGTTAATCACCAAAAGGTAATACTAAAGAAGGCAAAGACTATTTCCCTCATGACTCTGCTACTCGTAACCAGCACAGTGCCTGGTCCATGGGAGACCCTCAATAAATACTGACTAATAAATGAAGATAGCAGAGCCTGCAGAAGAGAACTGCAATAAGGTAACAGGGCTTGAGCTCATCCACAGGAAAGAGCATTAACTAATTATTAGAGATGGGAATGCTGGGGTCAGGATACATCACCTCTAAATATGACCATAAGAGACCAGAATATGCCACCACAAAATACACTACTTTGGCATATATCTAAGCTGACTGTTCTGAGAAACTGCATTGAACACTGAATGTTCTAAAAAGCTGCTCTTTTGAAAAAAAAAAAAAGGGGGGGATTTAGATATATAAAAGAAGCATTAATAAAAATCTCTATTAGGAGGAGATAGAAATAGTTTTTATTACCTGATCTTCTGCATAACAAGGTAACTTTTATTCACCAAATATTTCTTCCCTCACTCTCCTACAACCCATGCCTCACCATTCCCAAGAAACCCCCAGGGTGCTACATGAACTTCAATCATTTGACCCTCTTCCTGGTCTCATATTCTGTGGGACTCTCATACATACACATCTAATTAAAATAATTTTTCTCCTGTTACTCTGCCTTATTCCTTTGCCTGTAGCTCAGTCACAGAACCTAAAAGGCTAAGGGGAAAGCCACTATTTTCTTCCCTATAGGAACAAGATGCATACATAAATCAGGACCTCTTACTGGGCAAACGTTCTATACTCCTCTGCGTCCTATCTAGAATTTATTTGAAGACTTCATTCCCTAGATCTACTCTCATCAATGCTACTTGAAGATCATTATACCATACAGTATTGTTGAAATTCCCTGTAGCAAATAATCCATATAGTAATCCCATGAATGCTTCAGATACGTTGTACTTCCTAATAACACTATGTGGAATTTTTCTTCCTCTTTCTGGGTTATCAGCAATTTAGCATATAAATTATAGTCATAGATCACTACAGGTACATAAGTCTGAAGGTATTTTTATTTTACTTTACTATTTCCATTTAGGTTTAGAAATATAACAGAAATTCTGAATTTAAAAAGTCTCTTCCTATGGGTTTACAGAATCTCCAAGCTATTATACAAACTATATTAAGCGTTCCTATAATGGGGGCAAGGGAGCGGGGAATAGACCTAAGAAAACAAATATGATACTTTCTGAGAAAAAACTAAGAGCAGTGGATATATAGACAAATGCTGACTTCCATTCTTCTTCATCCCATAGATCTTATCGCTTCCTGTCACCCAACTCTTGAACTGCATCTGCATCATGTCTATTCCCCTTCGAGAATGCCTCACATCTATTAATTGGTAGATAAAAGAAATTCACAAGGAGAAATGCTAAATACAAGTCTCCTCCACCCCCCCAAAAAAAAGGCTTACACAGCAGTATAAACTAAGTTAATATAGAACTAAATACATTCTGGGGTCAAGTAAAAATCCAAGATGAGGAAACATTGATACCGGTCCCTGAGAAGTAAAAACAAGTTTTCTTTGTTTAGTCTTACCTATAAATTCACCAAGTTAAAAAAAGAAATATGCCCTAGAGTCCTAGGTATTTTCTTCAACTATAAAATGAGCTCTTACTCTCTTTAAAGGAACCTACTCACTAATCGACACTTTCTGCACACTATGACTGTGGTCCCCTTGTGAACATATTATGACAGTCTTAACTGTTCAACTAATGTAAAACAGTCATGGAAAACATGCAGTTAAAGACTGAAGAGACCTCGGTATCCTAAGAGATATTTGTCTAGAGTTCTTTACCCAGAACAAACCTGATGATAGCTGGAATTTCCTGGAGTTGGCCCAGAACTAAGAAAACATCACCACTCATCAAAGATGACATCATAAAAGCTTTTCTTAAAAAGGCCTGGATTCTTACCTCCCAGATCCTCTTGCAATCACATTCCTGACCTGTGTTTAATAGCCCCACTTGTATTTCAATCTCAGATAAAGTACTTTAAAGATTCTTGGACTTCCTCTGTGCAAACTCTCATTTCAGAAACAGGGTTACTGTGAGACAAGAAGTGTTCAGGTCTGGTCCATATGTTTGTCCCATAACAACATAAGGAACAGATGGTGGCCCAGGGATAAAACATGACACTGCAAGGCTGATCCACGTGGGAAAGTTTTGGGTTCATGAATGCCAGGCACATACGTGTCCATAATCCAGAGCTGACTGGAACTGGGAATGGATCAGGCATCAAGACCCTACTGGGCTGTGTGGATGCTCTCTTTCTTTCTCTTCACATGGAAAAATAAACAAAATAAATTAAATAAATAAATAAATTTAAAGATAAGAAAACACAGTTTCTATGGAAATGTGCATTTTTCATTTTCAGTTCCAAAACTCCAACTTCATTTAGGACACAGTTTTATATTAAAGTACTTAAATTTTGGAAAACATATAGGTAAATGAAACCTTTGAGAATCAAATCATGTACTTGAATTACAACATAAGCAGTTTAAATAAAATTTGTGTTTAACTTGTTTTGGGGGCTAATAACCAGATTTCTAATATAATTCTCTTATCCAATTAAATCTTTAAGTATCTCTAGTTTCCACTGTTAAATTTTCATAATTAACTTGTAGCCAAAAATAAACTCCCTTATACTAATAAAACAAAGTAAACACTGACACTAAGTAGAACCTTGATGCTAAAATA